CGCTCCCCGCTCGTCTGCGTGCATCAGCGGCGCGGTGGAGAACGTACGCGCGTGCGTCCCCCGTCAGGGCGCGTGTGCAGGTACATCCACTTGCGCATCCGTATCTGACTGGGCCACAGTGTGCGAGGGCCTGACGCTAAGCCGACATGACAGAAGCAAATAATGTCTGCTCCCGTTATCTTCTTCTTCTTCGCCCTCGGCCCCGCAGGAACCTTTTAAAGGGCCAAACGCTGATGAAAAACACGTGCTTGCATATGCAAAGTGCACATGTCACAAAATGATGAATCTAAGTGAAGATCATTAAATAAACCCGGCTTTTACATGTTCGGGAGACATGCCCACCCACCAAAAAAAAAAAGGGGCACATACCACTAAGGCTTGAACACAAAAAGATCCATTCAAACACAGACTGAATGCACGCACACAAACATGAGCCTGTGTCCGTACATACACTCAGATATGACCCACTTCCTATTCAGTACATTTGACCGAAATCTGCACAAAGCGATAGTCGATCTTCTTGTTCTCTGTAAATATTTTCCAGATATTTTGGAATGTTTGTTTTACTACCTTGTGTTAAAACTACTGATTAGAACTTGCTTTGCTATTATAGGAATGACTGTGATTGTATATGCTTGTTAGGATCTGTGTAGTTTCTGTCTGTCTAGTCCTGTTTTCCCCTGAGTCTGTCTCGATTGATCCCAGCTGTGTGTCGTTCCTGTGATTACCCTCCCAGTGTATTTAGTCCCACCTGTTGTCAGTGTTCTTTGTCGGATCGTCGTCTTGTCTCACGCCTGTGTCTGTTCCTGTGCTGCCAGTATTTTCTGTTGTTCCTCCTGGGTTATCATTAAATTATTTCTTATCATGACTACCTGGGATTCCCGGCGTCTCTCTCACCACCACCAACAACCACACATCATGACAATGCTCTGTTTTGGTCAATACAGACAAAAGGGTTTATCCCAGAGGATCTCACCTCAGTGCCTTAATCAGTATGAATCTGTCTACATAGCACTGATTAAGGATTTACACTTTCTATTTGTTTATACAAGCATTTTTGTTTACTTTTCTCATTATAATGAGAAAAGTAAGCATAGGAATGGTTGGAAATCATTGCAGTTTTTGTAAAACTTAATAATATGTGCAGCACGATCTTTGCTATAAAAGACATTAAAATGGTGGCCTCCAATATTCTAAAAGTAGCAATTTGTAATAGTTATGTCACTGACTTTGTCTGAGACCAACCGTTTTAGAATCCCTAGTTCCTTAGTTTATAGTTGAAAAGATAATGTTGGAAAATATAATCAGATTCAGATAGATTCAGCTCCACTTCTAGTAGGCCAAACATATCAGGCTATTGCATGTCTACCTTATTCTTCAATGACATAAAAGCATATGCAAGTTTAATTACAAAAGTTCTCCCACATGTTCATCTAATGCATTTGATACTATAGTGTACGCAGTTTGATTGTCACTTTAGTCAGATTGCTATGCATTTGTTTTGTGACAAATTCAGCGGCTCAAGCCCTGAGACGCCTCAGACGTTGTGCGTAATGTGTAATGCAAAAGTTTTTGCAAAAGAAATAGCCATCAGAAACTCGTTTGTTGCATTCATTCATTCATTACATTACATAAATGATCCTACATTATGCAGATGCTCTATCTGCATTAACAATGATTTACTTGCCTCAGCATGCCAAATGCTTGGAGTACATGCGAAGGCACAACCAATTTTCTGTTTAATTCAACTAATAAATATTTGATGAGTTAGGGATATAGATAAATTCACTTTAAGCCAAAGATGCTTAAGTGATCATTAAGTATGAAAAAATTAGATGGTGACATAATTAGAAAAGTTAATTAACAGTGTTGTGATACAGTGAGAGACTGTGGATTTCATGTGTTATTCCAATTTACACATCCAAACAAAACAGGGGTTTATATAGGACCTTCCAACCTCAAAGCACATTGTGAAGGACGAATGTTTAAAGATACTGTGAAAGCATGCAGAAAGTTAGTGAGCAGTTATAAGGGCTTGATTATTCTGTGAAGTCAATAAAGGCTTTTATGCCGATTATTGAAAAGGAGTCTGTATACATTTTTTTTCAATATTCCATTTTTAATTTGGCTGGGAAAAGAAAATTAATAATTGTTTTACATTATTTAATATATTTTATAAGATACCTCTCTCATTTCAGATTTCAAACAAAAATCAGCAGCCTAATAATGGCATTAATCTTATGCTACACTTATTAAGGTTATATACTGGCATTTTTACCTTCGTACATGCAACAGGGGGTTACTAGATTGATGCAGCAGGATAGAAGTGAGTCATAATGACACTGAAGTAATTGCAGATGGTCTGTAAACTCGCAGGCAATAAGTTTATGAAATACAGACCATGTCAGAATGATGGATATTGAGCTAGAATATCCATATAAATCTTATGCTAATCGATTTGTTCTCTTAGCCGTTCCAAATTATTCATGATTATTCATAACAGTGCGAGAGGCACTTTGATAAAGCCAAGACTCTGCAGAGGATTGTGGGTGAGAACAGGAAAAACTGAGCACCACATGCAAAAGGTATTTTTAGGGTACTTCCTCTGACATTAAATGTTCTCAGTATTTTATGGTTGAATGTCTTCTGAACCTCAGCCTATGTCTTGAATGAATTTACTCAATGAGCTCTTTTTTTTTTCTTTTTTTTTGCCATTCAGGGGTCCTTCCTGTCAAGGCCACAGCGGACTGCCCCTGCAGATGCCTGCCTGTATGCCCACCGCTCTCCACCTGTCACCTCATATCTCTGCCTCCACCTCCATCAATGAGCGCTCGGCCCAGCAACGAGCCAACCAACCACTATGAGCCTGTTGCTACGGCAACAGCCGTCTAGGGGATACTTCTTTTGTTCCTCACAAGTCCTTTTTTTCCTCATCTATCATACCATAATTCCATACTCGCAATGTATTTCTTCTGCTCAAATTCCCCGTGCCAGTTTCCTACATCCATCTGCCTTTCTGCTTCCCTCTATTTGCTTTTTTTCAGTCTCCCTCTCATCTCTCTATCTTTTGCACTCTGCATCTTTTTCTTACCTTCTTTAAGCACAACAACCACTACATGTAGTTTGAAACTAATCTGCAAAGTCAGCAGTATTTGCAACTTTTTCGTCAAAGTTCAACCATATATTCAAAAACTGCCTTAAAAAGCTGAATAATAAACATTTGTCTCATGTGTACATGCAGATAAAACATACCTTTATATAAATGCAGGCTGTTGCAGCTTAGTTTGCTTTTTTTTTTTTTTTGTGCAAATGGTATTTAAAGGTTCATATATAAACACAGCTCAATGTCAATTTTCCTGCAGCTTCATACAAGCCTGCTTGCAGAAGCGAATTTTGGTTTAAGTAGCCTGTAATAATAATCTGTAGTGCAAAATGCAGCATCTTGTTAAAACAGTTCAAGCTATTTTAAGGCAATTTTTAAATATCTAGAAACGTTATTAACACAATAAGTATGATTTGCTGCCCTCTACTGAACAAACATGGTATTTTTTAACTATTGATATTGAATGAGTAGATGACAAATAAAATCCCCCCACATTAAGGATCTCAACAATACTATGTGGAAAAAAAAAAAAAAAAAAAAAACATTTAAGAAAATATACTATTTGAATTTCTTTAACTGTGAGACTCTCAACCTTCTCAGTAGAAACATAAGGGATAAATTACCGCTTTAAATATCAAGGATATTATGATGTGGAAAGCGTAATTAAGGTAAATATAATAATTGCTCAGATGAAAATGAGATCCAGATTCTACAAAATATTTATGATCGTTTAAAACCGTAAGGCTGAACATGTTGTACAGAGCTCTAAGGCCATTTAATCCTAAAACTCGTGTGTTTAGGGTAGAAGTGTAACATAGTTTTTGTTTTCTCTATTTATTTATTTATTTATTTATTTATTTATTTATTTATTTATTTTTAATGGATATTATTGATCAAACATTGACAAAACTGTGCTGAATGCTCTTACAGAGCCCCTAATGGGACATTGAAGAAAAAACTAAAAAATGAACTTTCTGGTGCACATGAGATATTATTTAATGCACACGAGAAAGTTTTTTTTTTTTTTTCTTCACTGTTCATTGCTAAAAATTCTGAACATTGACAAACAAACTATTCAGAACGAAAAAGGATCATTTTCATACCCTGCCCAAACACTATTGAGTAACTGGCTCACTGTACGCATCTCTGATTGGTCCGTACAGGATTATGCTGCTGCTGGTCTTCCAAGATGCCGTGCATGTTTGCAAGGGAAGAAATGAGGTCTAAGGATTTTGTCGTTAAATCTCAGGTTAGTTCACCCAAAAAATCGCCACCACCGTTTAACTACATTTTTTCAACACTTTTTTCAGGGAGTGAACTGTGGTTCAATTCTGCACATTTCCACATTTCTGGCTTGCGATCTGGTTCAGTGTCCCCCCCCTACTTCCTGTCTTGCAGAGATAAACTCCAAGCTACAAAACCATGAACAGCAGAACAGCTATAGAAAATTTAACAATAGGTTTTTATCATGAAAAGTTCATCTATCCTCCCATCTCTGCTAGAATGACATTTTTGGGGGACTTTTTTGTTACCACAAAAAGTTTTACAATGCTGATCAAATAAAATACAGGTCCTCCTGAGCTGTGAAAGGTTCACACTGCCATTGTTCACTGCTTTTATAATGATCTGTATCTCACTTCAGACGGAGGGCCTTTGTGTGAGTTTCTGTTTTTAAATCCTCTAGTGCTTGACAGTTTCATGTTGTTTTTATTCCCTGCAAGACCGTTAAAGCACCGCAAAGACATGAAACGTCACTGGATGTAAAATCAATCATTTCTGTTAAAGTGTACAGCAGCATGGGATTTATGGGCTGCTTTGCATTAGGTGTCTCTGACCTTTATTTAATGGCATGCATGGACATGTCCTTTTACTGAATGTCGGTGTTAAGTGGAGTCACCTGTCAAGATGTTTTCAGCGATGACTTTGACCTGAACCTCCAGCGAGTGCTTGGATGTGTAAGTGATCTCGGCGTTAACGTGGACCACCTCGCCGATGAACACAGGCGACAGAAACTCCGTCTTCTCCACCCGAACCAGAGCTGCTAAACATCGGTCCTACAGAAAGGGAAAAGAAAGGTTAGCGTAATTACAAAAAGAAGAATAAAAGACGAGTCATTTTTCTCGTGATGCAGTTAAATAATAATCAACTTAGAGTAATAACGCTGGAAGACATCTTGTGTCATCCCAGTATGCTTTAGCAAAGCAATGTGTCCAACTAACAATAATGATTTCTATATCTCAAGGTTATCTTTGCAGTCAGGGGGGCATGTTGCTATCCAAAATCCAACATAAATGACCACCAACTCAACTTCTGTTCAAAACAGAATAAATGTCTAATTGTAAATGAGCTTGCATAACATAAGAACTTTGGAATTCCACTTTCAGTCTGCAACTATGGTGTTTCACCAACTGTTTTACCTTCATTAGCTCAGAAAACAATTGAAAACTTTGTCAAATTAAGTAGAGTTTCATGTATTTCTAACTTTGCTCCCACATTTTTCAGCCACCTATAATCATATAAACATAGCCTTTAACATTTGAAGTTCAGCTATTTTTTTTTCTCTCTGGTCAAAGATTAAAGCTGTGCACCGAGCTTTTTTGAAAATGTGTTTGTGTCACTGTTAATCTTTGAATCATTTAAACATGAGCTTAGTCATCAAAATCTGACGACTAAGTTCATCAGATTTTGATGAGCTTAGCCATCAAAATCTAAGCTCAGAAAGGCAGCATTGACTAAAGAATGCTGTCTATATTTAATCTTCAGTGAGATTATCATCTCACTGAAGATGAGATGATAATCGGAGCAAACGTGAGCTAAAGTTCACCGTTTTTTTGTTTTTCGCATCCACACCAGGTGAAAAGTACAACCATGACAGTGAGCCAATTCTAAATTTAACCAAAAGAAATTCCACAATATGGGTCACTTAATGCAATCTGAAATAAAGTGTATATCTCAAATAAAAATAAATAAATAAATAAATAAAAATGTTTTGTTTTAATATTTTGCAGCAGACAGGAAATGAGCAAAAACAGAAGAGGTAAGACACGTTTTCAAGGCCAGTAATTAAACCCTGGTGGCCGTGTGGAGGATTAGCCTCAGGTTTATGAGCCGTATTTTCTTCTTGTTGCATATAATGGATGTTGTGTTCAATGTACCTTCAAAATGGGGGATCGGAACAAGTGATGAAGGCATTTACAGTCTGTGCGACAGAATGCAGCGTCATGCTGCTAATGGTTTAATGCTTGAACTTGGCGTGCTGCACTATGAAGATTCAGGGCTGAGAGGACTTCCTAATATTTTTGTTTACTTCACCACTGGAATAAAAATAATGAGGACTAAATATGGTCAGTACTTACTCCATTCTGTGTGTTGCAGTGTCTCGTGCCGATGATGCTTCCAGCTTCTTCGATCATCTTGAGGATGATGCCGCCGTGAACGTTACCCATAAAATTGGCGTCGTCTGGCAGCATAAGCCTGCAGCAAAGCAACAGACTAAGTGTCAGAATCTGGTGGTAACATGTCTGCATTAATAAGTAATTTTGGAGTAAGATAAAGAACCCCACTACAATTGTTGGCGTCATAGTTAAACTTAGGTAAAAAAAAAAAAAAAAAAACTTAAAATGAACACACACACACACACACACACACACACACACACACACATCCACATAAAATCTAAATAGCTAACAGTTATACAGACACAGGTTTCTATTTTGTTGATGTGGCCTGTCCATTTTGATGGAAAATGCCGTGTGAGTGACTTTATTTAAGTCACTCACACGGTTATGATGCTGTCTTGAGATGTCAGTTACCAGTTTCCAGGTATACCAAACTTTTACACAATTATGGTTTCAGAAATGCAAAAAAAAAACTTCCATCATGCTAGTAATGGGTGCTTTCAATGAGATGCAGTAAAAAGGGCCAAAGTGACCCAAGACGTTTGTAGTTTTATAGAGCGCAGATTAATACATCACGCCCCCTCCCCTACTTGTTTCTGCACACTTCCAGTCAACTGGCTTAATATAGTTTTCCCTCATTTACAGCAAAGACACATTTGGCTGTTTCATGGTGAAAAACACAAACAGTGTTGTTATGGAAAGTAAAGGAGCACCGCCTCGCATCACACGCTTTAATGTCTGTTAAAAGGTCGACCTCAGAGTGACCTTCAGTGGACAGCTTGATTAAGAACTTAGCAATCACTTTGTTATGCCAGTGTTACTCTACAAAGAACAAAGCAAGCATTTTTGATGTTTGCAATAAGCATTCAAAAACTATCACTAAATTTAATAAGCTTTTTTTTTGTCGTTTTTTTGTTTTTCGCTCAAATATTAGATAAAAAGAGTCTTTAACAGCCAATACTTAATGTTGTTTCTTCGGCATTAGATATTTATTTTTCTCCTTTAAACAAAAAGCATACAATTATGGCATGCTATACACTGTCGTATTACATTTTAGTCCAAATTTCTTGTCATTAAGCTGTGATATGTTACTTTCAAGTTATCATACTAATAATCCTAATTCTTGATTGTATTTAATTAGCATGGATCAAGTCAAAAGGCACAGTGCCAGTCTCACAAAGACAAGAAAGACTCAGAGGCCGTAAGTGATTAGTCACAACTGAGACTGATGAAGGTTGCTGCAACAGATTGTTGTGTCCTTGGTGGGTTTCATTGCTAGAAAACAGTAAAGCAGGAGAAAGCATCATCTGCAGTCCCATGAAAACTTCTTCTCTTTTTTACATTTGTCATAGTTAAAGAACGGGTCTAACAAGACCGACTAATCTTGTGAAGCAGAAAGTAAGTCATGCTTAACAACAGAAGAATGCAATTCATAATGAAAGGAAATCCATCTCATAACACCTTTCTTAATTTTCACTGCGATGTGGTTTAGTTCCCATAAAACGCCCCATTCACTCAGCTTCTCATGTGAGTGCAGAAGGCTTCCTGTGAAACATTTTTCAGTTGGGTGGGGAAAATTAGTTTTCAGCACTGAAAATGCTCCAAGAGCTGTAAGATCACAGTGACCTGAGTGTTCATGACTCAGAACAAAGCAAAGCGACTTTCACAGCTACACACACAATAAGTATGAGATAATAAAACAGGGTTAGTGTTGTGAAACCTGATGAGTCTGATGAACTTTTAACAGTTGTAGTATGTGGTATCAGCAGGGGTGTGGATGCTGTAACAAGTTTAGATATGAAGCTGAAAACTAGTTTGAAACTTAAGATCAGTGAATAGTTAAGTTTTTAAATTGTTCTTTTTATAATTAGGCTATGCAAGTTTAAAAAAACCCCGAATACAACAAAAAAAAAGTTTATATTTCTCAGTGCAATAAAGTACCTGCTGAGTTGGAATTTCTTTACCACATCCTCACATCCAGCTCCCACATCTGTACAGTCGTCCCTGCAGCCTGGTTGACTTTGACTAGGCTTCCGTTTTTCCATCACTGCTACTGTTTTGTCCACTTCATCTGCTGCCTCTTTACAATCCATCTTCGCACCCTGTTTTGGCTCTGTTCTCTCGCGACGCCTCCCTGCTACTGTGATCTCTGGTTTTGACAATGTTCTTACAACTGATGTCATGCAGGGTAAACCCCAAGCCGGCTAAAAACAATTGTCCGAGACCAGACGAACCTGATCTCGGCAGACACTCAACAACAGACAAATAAAACCTGACGTCATCAGAACAGGAAGAACAGGAAATGTGTCAAACAATGACATCACGTAGTGACGTGAAAAAATGACGCACCGTTGGTCACAATTTGTTTTGTAAATGCCTAAGTAAAAAGTAGCCTGGATTTTCAATTAAGTCATAAATCTAGATTAAAATGTCTATGGTTTTTTGAAGATTTTTTTTTTAAACAAAAAAACACCCTCAAGCTAATGTTTGTGTAACTCAGCATCCTGTAGTTTTTTACTACATTGTACCCACCTCTTAGTGTTTTTTATGAATTTTTACACCTAAAGTTCTTGGAGATCTGCCTATTTTTGTAATTTCCTGTCCAAATGTGGTTAATAAAATTCACATCTCCTAGAGTAATGCCGTGGGTATTTTTGTTTGTTTTTACACCTTTGACTATGTCGCAGCAGTCATTCTACTCTCATATGAAAAGCTTTTTACAATTAGATTTGAAACTAGAGTTGGGTTGATTGCTCCAATCCGCACTGAAATAAGGTTGAAGCAATTTGTCTTTTGCCTTCGTTAGAATGCAACTTTTGATTTTGCAAACAAATTAGCTGCTTCACTGCTGGATTGTTTTAAAAAAAACAACACAGTTACTGAGTGAAGAAGGCAGAGTTATCGTCAGTATCAGGAGGGGAAAAAAACAACCCATAAATGGACATTTTGGCAACAAAACATTTCCTTTTAAGGTATTCTCCTTTTCCCTGCAACCAAACAAGTCAACTACTTTTACTTATTTGCATCCACGCCCACGTGTGAAATGTTCTTGCTTTCTAAAACAAACACGCACTCAGTGCTCTACAGCGTTGTAGAGTACAGCATAGTAGAAAGAAAGATTCAAAGAAGCGCAAAAGATCAGCTCCGGTCATTCTATACACATATAACTTTACTGACTCTTTGATCATCTAAATGTTCGATACATGAATCACTTCAAAGCTTCTGCAGGCTTAAATGCTGAAATGTTTCAAGTTCTGACTGCTTCAAACTTGTTAAACTGGATGCAACCATAAATCCTAATCAGTACTCTTAAGTTTATTTTCTGTGAGAAAAGTGTTTGATAAAACTGCCAGTATCCAGTGCCTTGCAAAAATATTCATACCTCTTTTACTGTTTATGTCATAGACCTATTCAAAGTATTGCATAATGTTTAGGGAGAAGGAAATTTGTATGTCTATCAGCTTTGCACCTTATGCTGGGTTATCTCTCCAATCTTTGCACTTTTAGAGGTTTTGCACATTCTTCTTCGCAAAACAGCCCAAGCACAACGTGCCACAAATTCTAAATTAGATAGAACTCTGAACTTTGACAGAGCCACTACACTCGAATTTGCATTCCTCTGTCTCTGTACCAATTGTTTTGCTGCCTATAAAAGGTTTTCATATAGGATTGTTTAGATTGATCTGTCCCCTCATCAACTCTAACCAGTTTCAAAATCCCTGCTAAGGAAAAGTCTCTTAATTTCTCTCTTAAAATTCCAGTAGTTTACATTGACATTTGTGTTTTTACCTGAAAAACATGTTGAAATACTTATTTTTGATTCGATTAATAATGAAGATTCAATCTACAGTCACTGGGGTTTCATTAAACAAAGTAAAAACCCAATGGCATTGGTAGGTGAAACTGTATACCATTGGTTAGCTTGAAGCTAGACTGGGATGTGACGACCTCAGATATTAGACATATTGTGAATGTGTTTATGTAGCGCCCTCTGCAGGCGAAAGAGAATAGCTACAGCCGTACATGGTGAGTTTATTCATAGAAGGGATTTTGTTTTAATACACCGGCTATTAGATTAGCATTCACTACAGAGTAGTCTGCTGAATAACTGTTTCCTTCTATGTCGTGTATTTTTAATAATATCTTTAAAACATAAGTCCAAAGATTTTTCAGGAGTCACAGGAGAGGAGATATCGATCTCTTGCTCTTAAAAATTAACCTTTATTTTAGCTTTTAGGCTATAACGAGCTGTTCTTGGCAGTTAAAGCGCTTCCTGCCCAGGTCGCTAATCGAGCTAAGGTCATCACACAGCTAAGATCCTTAAAACAGCAGCTGCCGGGTGTGATAAACCGAAGCAGAATACATATTGTGGAGCGCTGACTTAATAAAGGCGGTGTTTTCACGGACAAAGTGGACATCTTGCGTTAGAATGAGTCCCGAAGCGGCGGATTATCCGGGTTATCATGCGGGTGAGCAAACGGTCACACGGCGGCGCGAGCAGAAAGCGCTGTGCTCATCATTACCGACAAACCAAGCGAGTCTTATCTTCGCCCCACATTAGAAAATTAACCATGGACGCCATACCTGCATAACTGGAGGGAGGATGCTTCGTCCATCCCCGGCGACGACATGGTTTGGTCTCTCCTGGACTGCCGGTGTCGTGTTCCTGCGTGATACTGAGTAATCAGGCAGACTCCCCCGGCAGCGTTCCAGGGCTGCTGTGGTCACCGTGCCTCTTTCAGGACTGTTTGAAAGAGGAAAGTAACGGAGACCACAAAAATGTTAACCAGATTATTCATTATTATGGTTTACACTTTATAAAGTAAAGGAAACTTGAATGGCGTTTATATACCGAGCTCTAGTGAAATAAGATGTCTTTGTGCAGTAAAAACTGAAACTATGTCAGTACTTTAACTTACCAGAAGGGGGCAGCAGAGACCACTGTTACATTTGATTATGTCTGTAGGTGGCGCATTTGAACTAAACATTTGTCCCACAGCAGACATGCTTATAACAGTGCGATTAATTATTTATTCAATAAAGTGCCCGTGTTGATTCACATTCTACGCTATTTTTGCACCAATATGTAATGTTACATTAATCAATATTTATTTATAGAGTCTCTTTTTAACAGGCACAGTCTGGCGATGCGTTTTACACAACTAAAATTCAACTGCTGAAATAAATTTCCCTCAATAATATGTGCAGTAGTTTGAAAAATTAAAGTGAACTCCAAATTATAAAAACTGTTTAAATAAGTTTGGAAAAAGAAGCAAAGGATAGTGAAAAGCACAATATATTAAAATTGCACCTGTTTATAAACCAGAACATAGAAAAAAATAAGAAAAAGCATATTAAGTGCTTTATGGTTAGATTTTGCAGTTAAAGTGTGTTTAGGTATATTTTTTTTATCCTTTTTATGGTCTCTTTTTTTTCTTTTTCTTTTTTTATTTCTACACCCATAGCTCTTAAATCCAGTTTCCCTTTAATTTTAGCTCTAATTTGAAAATAATACTTTTAATTGATTTTATTTTTCATCCATTTATTGTTTTTAAGGCAGCAAGCGAATCCCCATTAAGTATGCACAGAGGGGAAAAAAACAACTCAAGACGTAACCACGACATCGTAGTTTTATTTATTTACATCATATATACAATAGGTGCTGCAAACATAGCACAAGTACAGCACGTCCCCAAATGAAGATACTCTTACAGAGACATTCAATGTCTACAAAGTCCATTTGCACTGATTCAGAATTCTGAAGTCTTTTGTGCAAATCCGTACACATAATGACCCCCAGGGTCTTACAGGGCTGTTTCAGTAGCCCTTCATCATTCAATCCAGCGAGAGGACTAAATATTGAACGTATACATACATGCGGATTTAAGAAGAATACGACTGTCTAACATTGTCAACTTACACAAGACAACGGACCTGCGCGCAAAACTCAAGTATATAATACTTCATCAAACCACTTCAACAATAAGTTCTAAAGAACCAGTAATTCAACTTAAAAGTAATACATCAGAATAGCACGATTAAAGACTCCTCGTCGTTAAAGATGAGGGATCTTTAACTGCGGAGCTCTACCAGGGTCTCCACACAGCAACGCGGACTGGCTGCGGGCCTGACTGCGCTCGGCTGGCTGCTGACGCTGGCTGGCTCTCCAGGCTGGCACTGACGCAGGTTTTCAGGGTCAGGATTTTTTGATGGAGCAGAGGGAAAGCCCTGGCGTTATGGGCGCAACATTTCGGGCAGGTCGACGCGCTGTTCGCAGACATGGACTTCTGGACGAAGTCCTCGACTCGCTGGCGCGCTTCTTGCTCCAGGTTGGTTTTGGGGAGCAGAGCGGGGACGCGCTGGAGGCAGGCTTTGAAACCTTCTCTGTAGCTGTCTGCTGAACCTGAAAAGACGAATAAACGTGAGTTTTTATGTTCACAAATGGAGTCCGGGGCTTAAGTGCCGATTGAAACGATTTAGAGGCGCAGAATTCTTACTCACTTTTGACGTTAACAGGAGGAATGTCACTGAGGAACTTCACGGTCATTTCCAGGATGTCGGCTTTCTCCAGCTTGGAGTAGCGGGTTTTCTGTTCAGAAAAAAAAAACACAAAGGCGAATGTTAAACACGCAGAGTTCAAAGTTATCTTGAGTTTATGGAGCCACATTTTAACTTTGCTTATGATAAAATTAGAATAGAGAGGCTTACGTCTCTGCCTGTGAGCGGAAGAATGAGATTCTTCAAGTGGTTCAGGCTGTCGTTGATCCGGGCGCGCCTTCGTTTTTCCATCAGTGGTTTCATAGTCTGAAGAGAACACAGAGAGTTTTAGTTTACATTCATATGGCTAAAAATTGGAGCTGATCCCAAAAACAAAAACAAAACAGGCATTTAGCTTACCTTTCTCAAATCCAGAGCCTCTTTCCTTTTGGCCACAGTCAGCCTTGGAGAAAAAGACTGGAGAGCGTCATAGATCGTGTTTTGAGACATTTCTCAGTGTCGTCTTTGTACCACAGAAGCGTTCAAGAGCTAAATCGGGGAGGATGTGTCGCTAACGGACTGATGATTCGGTATTTATCCAAGTCCGCGGCGTCGGTTTCCGTGCGTCACGGCTACGCCCCCAAGCCGACTCAAACGATCCGGACTGGTCAGTATGCGACAAAATCAACACAAAAGCATTGGATTTAATAAGATAACCATCTGTTCACAGTTTATAAGGTATGTGAAAAAAATTGCGTGTCTGCAATTTGATCCACAGACATAAACCAAACAAAAGCTGCGTCAGAAAGCTGGAGAAATCAGTCCGTAAAGACGCACAGCATTGCAAATCATATGGTGGGTTATTTACCTACCAGAAAGTAATTTTCAAAACTCCCAAACAGACATCAACACCACTTTTTCTTTTTTGCTTAGTGGTTGAATTATTTTACGATTCATTCTTTGAACAAAAACTCTAATATTAGTGCGCAATTGCGCAACAAAGCACAGCTTTGGTGCTTCTCGAAGTTTGACATAAACAATAAGTAACTTGAGATAAAAAAAATTTAATTTGTGTATATGTATTTCCAAACAATATCTCTATAACACATAGATAAGAACGCTTTTGAATCGCTGGATGTCCTGGTGTAATTTGATTATAATTACGTTTAACCCTAAATGTTCCTTTTTGTGATCTTCTCTGGTCCTCTTTATAATATCAAAGTTTAAATAGTTCTATGGATTTTGAATGAAAATCCAGACCAAAGCAGGTTGCAGTACGTGCATCACTCACATAGGGGTCAGGTTTGTGTGTGTTCAGAAAATTATCCCCTCAAACACACACTTGTTCTCCGATCACACACCCAAGCCACGCTAGTTTTATATAACATCTGCTCCTATACTTTGACAACAAAAGCTTAGCATATCCATATGACGTTTTTATGCAGTTTTTGTCTGGAGGCTCGGGGGAGGGTCTCTACCTGTAGGGAGTGTCCGACTGCAGCTACCCCTTCAAGCAGAGGTGGGGGCCGAAAAATCGGGGGATAAAGTGGGGATGGGGGTGCTCGTTAACAACAGCTTTTGCTTAAAATAAAAATTACGCCATTTTGATTGTTTTTTTGTTTTGTATTTTTGTTTGTTTGTTTGTTTTTTTCCAGAGCTTGAATTTTGCGAAAGTTTAAGTCGAGTTTGACACGAAGCGTCCGTTGAGTACGCGTCGTTTCTCTTTCAATTCTCTGCAAACGACCATCTAAAATGTGCACCAATGTTTCTGGTTTTGAATTAAAAAAACTGAAGCGACATTGACAGCCCATCAAATGCCTCTGCACTCAGGGGAACCACGCGCGCAGCACGCGCCACGGGGACCAGATGGCTGTCTGTTACAAATCCCCGACCCCACCCTCACCCTGTAGCTCCATTTTATCACCACCATCTCTCCTCCCCCATTCATCTCCTGCGTAGTGGCTCTCGATCCCTCCGATTCTCATCCGAAGCAGTGGGACACGCGCGTGCACCTTCTCCTACAACCCCC